AAAAAATAAAGATAAAAAATAAAGATAAATAAAAAAAGAGACGATCTGAAAACAAATCCTTGCAGTGTCACTTTCTAGCTGGGGGAGTTTCCACAATGGGTAAGGCAGGGGAGAGGGGTAGGAAACAATACTTATTGGGTGCCTACTTTGTGCAAGGTGCTCTACACTTATTTAATAGAATAGCTCTATATGGTAAGTTCTTTTATCCCTAATCTTTTGGTGTATTATTCATTTTTTAAAAAGATTAATAATAGACCTAGTCTAAACCTAAAGCTCAAGGAATTTAAGTAACTTACCCAGAATCACAGAGCTTTAAAAACAGAGCTAGGACATGGGGTGTCTGGGTGGATCAGTTGGTTAATGTTTGACTCTTGGTTTCAGCTCAAGTCATGATCTCACTGTTTTGTGAGTTCGAGTCCCATATCATGCTCTGTGCTGGCTGCAAGGAGACTGCTTGGGATTCTCTGTTTCTCCCTTTCTCTCTCTGTCCCTACCCCACTCTTGCAGTCTCCATCTCTCTATACACTTAAAGAGAAAAAAAAAAAAACCCATGGAGCTAGGACTTAAAGTCTGCCCTAACCCTGAATTACAATAAATATTAGTTCTCCTCTTCTGGAGAAAGTACAGAGAATAGCAGTTTGTATCACTGAAGGGATTAAAGGTAGATTTTATTGGGCCAAAAGAAATTGAAGAACTTAAGTTGCTTGTTTTAGAAGGTAGTTTTAATTACCATTTTTAAAATCTGGAGATTCTCTAAGAAGTTTGTTAAACAATTACTATTTTCCACAAAAAAACACCGAAAAGTTCGAAGTCGTACAATATATTTTGTAGGCCATAAGGAAGATTTTTTTCTGGGTCAATTTCACTGATAAGACCTGTTATTTGCAAAGTACTTTCCTGGGTGCTGAGAATCTTAAATGAATAAACTAAAATCTCATGATCCAGTGAGAATAGGCCAGAATGTACGCGGTGCAACATACAAGTTGGGTTGCTCAATAACTAGATAATAAGATGTAATAATGACTTGCAAGGAAGATGATCACATCTCTGGAATTCTTCATAGAGCACAAGGAAAGCTGCCCCCAAAGTAAGCTTTAACACAGAAAACCATCAAAACTAGACAGCTTAGACTCGGGATTCCTAACGTGTACAAACAACCATGTTTCATTTTGCTTTCCTTTCTCAAGGCATGTGTCCATAGCCATTTTTAAAAAATTTTTAACTTTATTTTGAGAGAGATAGAGACAGCACAAGTGGGGGAAAGGCAGCTAGAGAGAGAGAGAGAGAGAGAGAGAGAGAGAGAATCCCAAGCAGGGTCTGTGCTGTCAGAATAGAGCCCAGCATGGGGCCTGAACACATGAAGCCATCAGATCATGATCTGAGCTGAAACCAAGAGTCGGACACTTAACTGATTAAGCCACCTAAGCACCCTGTTTCCATAGCTGTTCTTTCAACAAACCTTTACTACCTGACCACTCTATTGAGGACATCACTCTAGCATCAACATGGCCCTTTACTAATGGCTGCCTGAAACCAGCTCTTCACTCATTCTTTGGTTGTACAGCTTCTATATAAGACACCATAGGTGGGTTATTTCAAAATAAACCTTGAGTTATGAAATTATAAAAGTGACTAGAAAGCTCCACATTCATAAAATACAGGTTACTTCCTTCAATCAGGTAGATTTCCAAACTCATGATTTCTAAACAATGATAATGGAGTAAGCCGGGCTGTCTATGATTATTTTTGTTGTTTCAAGAGATATTTTTATGTAGACATTTTATGTATATAAACATGTTCATGCATATATCCAGGATCACTTATATCAGAGTGTTCTATAGGATTCATATACTAGAGACTTTTATCTTTCAACAGATGTAACACCTCATGCTTGTTTTATAATCTCTTCTCAAAAGTACAGTATGAATCAATTAGTTCTAAACTCAGACCAGAGGAAAACTCGGGGTTCCTTTGCTATCTCTAAGTCCCTTGAATCTATTCATTTTCAAAGTTAGGCAAACCTAACACTAACATTTCTCATTCCCATTGCCCCAAATTAATGTATGTTTTGGGATGATAAAATTCTTAGTCTAAGGTAATGAAACAAAGGTAATTATAATGCATGTACTTGATGAAACCTCTACCCTACTAGTTATAAAAATTGGGAGAATACTAACAGCCAACTTATAATGAGTCCTTACAATGTGCCAGGATAAATTCTCTGTGTGTTATTTTCTCATTTAATTTTTACAATACATATATATGAGGCAAATAAACTCTCTTGTAAAAAAATAAAAGTAGTGATGGATTTGGTTTTGTGCCATATTCTTGAGATCCTCACCGGTATCACATCACTGAAGGATGAAATGAGAGGAAGGTGGACCCTCTTTTCCTATCAGGTTATACGACTGTACCTTCATTATTTTTTGGCATTTTCCTAGGGTTCGAAAAAAACTGTTGACAATTTTCTACATCTATAACATTTTGGATGAGCAATTTCTATCCTATTGTGTTTCCTCACATATGGTGTTCTAGCTCAAATAGCACTGGTATTTTTAACTTGCACATTATTAGTAAGCCACTTTGAATTACTTTGCTGACAAGAATCCAAACTACCTAACATAAATGAGAAAACTACATGTATTACTGAGGCTAGTGTGTTCATTGATTTTCAGGCATGAATTTCCCAGAGGAATCACTGCATTTTATAGCTAAAAGGGAGCATAAAGATTATATAATCTGACCACTTCTTTTTACAAGTAAGAATCTACAACAGGCAGAAAGATTTAAAGTGTTTCTCCTGGGTCAGAGAAGCTAGTTAATAGGAGAAAAAAACAGCAGCCCAGTGCTTTTTCTACATGAAAAAGACAGTAATTATTATAAAATCCACATTATTTTGCAGTGCCCTGCAGAGGATGTACCAATAAGTAATTGGCATTAAAAAAAAATTACTGGCATGTTTTTTAATACTGTATTATCTTCTGTACTGAAATTTGACACTTGTGACTATCAGTTACATGGTACTATCATGTACCATTGCTATTCACAGTTTTTTTCTGGAACGTACGTCTTGTGTTCCTAACTAGATTGAGACTTCTCTGTGGTAAGCACAATTATCTTTTAAAAATGTTTCTTATATCCCTCAGTAAACCTACACATATATGAACTGCTTAAATGGAAAGAGATGGACATAAATCTATTTAGATGTTAGATTCATACTACACAACTCAAATAGTTTGAGTTCTCAAAATAGAACTCAACAACTGTCGTTAGGATGCAGGTGAATTTGTTGTTTTGAAAAGGAAAAAAGTTGAGAACTTCCTCCTTTCTTCACAGGAAGCAGTTGAGATTGTCCAACTCACTCAAAAGTGAGTGGTTTTAGGAGCTTGAAGAGATCGGCAAAGGAACAAAAATTAGAGAGAATGATGAGAGAGCTGAGTCTTAAAGACATGTGGGTGCATATTCACATCAAATTACTCAATCAAAACCCTAGCTAATAATGACCAAGGATTGACTGGGAGCCTGGTCCTCCTGTCAGTACTCTGTCTGTATTAAGCCAACCACACCTCAGAACAACCTTAAGAATATTTTCATTTTTCGACAAGGAAATTGAGGCTCAGAGAGATTAGGTCATGTGCCCAACTGAAGCTGCTACTAACAGGTGGAATAGGATTCAAACACTTAACCAAGGCCTATGCTCCCAGAGTTTGATGCTTAGGATAAAACCACTTAAGTATGTGCTGTTTGATACAGTGCCAAACAAACGCCCGGCCCCCAAGCGGGAGCTCAGTTAATGCTAGTTACCCCACTTTTGGGTTTGCAACCCACTCTCCCCGTATTTATTTACCCACAAGTTCTTATTCCCCAAACAGACATACCCGTATTTACACACACACCACTATTTTTACCATCTTAGGTGGGTAGATAACTAGCTATTAAACTTCTATTCATACATTCTTCCTCATAGGAAGGATTTAAGCACACATATGTACAAATGAGTCCAGGAACCAAACTCAGCTCTCTCCACATTACTCCAGGTAAATGTAAATACATACTCACTAATAATGGCTCTGGGTTACAAAACACACGTGTATGCATAGCCTGGTTATACAGCCGAATTCAATTCAATAAAGATTCTTCTTTTCCCATTACCCAGGCAAATGCAAGAGTTACCATGACTGATGCCAAAGACATTTGGCTCTGCTAGTGGAAATTGGGAAGCAATGGTGAAATGAGGTAAGAAAATCCGGGGCCAGAAGGTGGTCGCAAGTCATCAACTGCTCTTCCCAGGAACTTGCTCTTTTTGGTTAAGTGCTACGCATACGAAATCCAACCTGCTGCCACAGCCTACAGCCCCCTCCGCCCGACTGTGAACCCCACTCAGGCTGGAGCAGATGCACACACCGCGGGGAACCTCATTTGCAGGAGATGAGTGTTCCCTTGCTCTATTTTAATGCTTGCTGCCGGGCCGGAGAAGGAAGTTTTGCCAGAAATCGCGGAGAATAGCGACAGCCAAGCTTTCTCCAGCAATCACTAGCCAGCCCAGAACAGCGAATCATAGCTTGCACAGTATATAACGGTTCACGTAAACAAGTTTCTGCCCTGCCTGCGTGCACTTTTGGAGCCACCTCTGGCAGCCGTGGGCAACGCCGGCGAGGCCTCCTGCGGAGCTCGGCGGAGAGGCAGGCGGTGCCGTCTCCGACACCAGAGACTACCGCCACGGGGAGGCTCTGGGAACCGCCCTCGCTGATCCCCAAGGACTGGGTGGGCCTTAATAAACACCCTGCTCGGCCGGATACGAAAGACCAAGTTCAAATTCAAAAGGTCCAGCCTGGGGCGTGTCTGGAAAGGCCGCCCACAGATCCGGCCAGCAGCCCCCGCCCGGCCGAGCAGTCTCAGGCGCTAGTTTGCGGAGCCGATCCGAGTCACTGCGCCTGCGCGCTCCGGCTCCACCCCCCCCCTCCGCTTTCCGAGGCGGAGAGCCTGGGGGCCGCCGTCGCTTAGCAACGCGGAGAGTCACAGACGCGGCTCTCCACGCACCCCTTTCCTAGCAGGACTTAGTGCCTGATCTTCTCGTGAGGCTCCTCGCTGCCTCGTGTCAGGCCGTGGGAGCCCATGGAGGGAAAGGAGGATAAGCAGCAGTAAGTGCTGGGGTTTGGTTTTCTATTTCCCCTTCCGAAAAATATTTCCCTCCTTGGGGGAGGGTGAAGCGAGAGCCGAAGGGTAGGTTCTCAGGCCAGCAAGGCTTTTCCTCTTCCACCCTACCTCTCCTTTCTAGTAGCTGAGCGCTTACAGTGATGCTTTTAAAAACACACTGTTTACTGGGGCACCCACTGTGTCGGGCACTTTACATACACTGCCTGGCCTAAAATTCTTCAAGTCCTGTCGAATCATCTGCCCCTTCTCACACCCCACATCTAAATTATTAGCAAATCCTGTAGGCTTCACCTTTAAAACATGTCCAAAATCCACCACTATGCACCACCTCCACTATCATCCCGCCCTGGCCCAGCTACTACAAGCGTCTCTTACTTGGATGTGGTAACCGGCTCTGCTGCTCCCCTTGCCCCTGAAGCGTCCTCAGCACGGTGGTCTGATCCTTTTTACAATGCAAGTTAGATCACTCTTCTCCATAGGCCATTGCAGAGTGCAAGCTAAGGCCTCTGCTGTAACCTATGGGACCTGTGTACCTGCCCCATTTCCTTTATTTGGTCTTATCTGCTGCTTATCCTCTGACTCCTCTTCTCCAGCACTCAGACCTCCATGCTGTCATCTGCGGTGATTCTCAAAGTGTGGCCCTCCAACCACACCAGCATCACCTGAGAAGTGATTAGAAATGCATACCCTTGCAGGCTCCCCACCACAGACTTACCGAATCTGAAATTTGGGGTTGAGCACAACGATCTGGGGTTTAACAAGTCCTCCAGGTGATCCTGATGTACCCTAAATCTTGAAAACTATTGACCAAGGTGTTACAACTTAACATGACATGGAGCCAGGAGTATCTGCTTCCAAAGCCCTATTTTCATCACCAAACAGTGGTTCACAAACTTTAACCTATATAAGAATCACCTGGAGGGGCTCCTGGGTGGCTCAGTCAGTTAAGCGTCGGACTTCAGCTCAGGTCATGATCTCACAGTTCGTGGGTTCGAGCCCCGCGTTGGGCTCTGTGCTGACAGCCAGCTCAGAGCCTGGAGCCTGTTTCAGATTCCCTCTCTCTCTCTCTCATTCAGAAATAAATAAATAAATAAATAACATTAAAAAAAAGAATCACCTGGAGAGCTGGTTAAAACAGTTTCCCAGGAAACCTGCCTCAGGGTGGGATGGGGCCAGTGAATTTGTACTTCCAACAAGGTCACCATTGATGCCACACTTTGAGAAGCACCTAAGGACAGGTGCTTCTGCTGCAGTGCTTTGGCAATTACAGTTCACTCTGCTAGAATGCTCTTTCTCAGATATCCTCTTAGCTTGCTCCCCTCTTTCCTTTTTTCAGTTGCCACCTTCATAATGCAGCCTCCACCCTGTCTAAAAATGCAGGCTCTCTCCCACATACATATACTCCTTGTCCCCATTCCCTGCTTTCTTGCTGTCCTTAGCACTTAACGGCATCTAAAAGACTGTATGTTTTACCTATTATTTGATTTCTCATCTGCCTTCCCTGACTAGAATGTAAGCTCTGTGAGGGCAAGAATTTTGGTTTTGCTATTCCTCTATCCTCAGTGCCGTGAACAGCACCCGGCACATAATTCAGTAAATACATGCTGAAAGAATGACGTATTCAACATTATCGTCACACCGCTCACAATAGGTATTCCTGCCCTTACCATGCAAACGAGGAAACCAAGGCTCAGATTGTAAATGGCAGAGTTGGGGTTCCAACTTTCCTCTTTCTTCACTACCTATTAGTATTTTTGTGTTCCCTTCTAGTAAGAAATCACCACAAAATCATATAGTTCACGTTTATGTGTTAATCCATAACTACTCACATCACAAATACTTAATGGAAGGAATGCATACATATGTAAGCATATTGCCACAGTCCTTCATTCAAGGACCTGGTGGGAATACAATTGTATTGCTGAGTTACAACCAAGAGAAGCAGATAGAAAAAAACTGACATCAGAAGTCTATAATAAATCAATCATGACCTTTAAGCAAATACCTCTGTATCTGGAAAGGTAATAGAAAAAGCCTTAGAAATTATTTCTATTTTACCAGCAATCAGTTTTTCGAGACCCTTTACAAAGAGCAACTTTTGTTGGGATGCAAGGAACTAGAATCCACGGTTGTTGAATATTGTTTGTATGTGTCTTGGAGTGGGGGTTAACAGTATACAGCTACATTCAGCCAGACGGAAAAACAATTCCAGTTGGGGTGCTGGGTGCCTCAGTTAGTTAAGCATCAGACTTTTGGTTTTGGTTCAAGTCATGATCTCATGGTTCATGGAATCAAGCTCTGAGTCAGGCTCTGAGCCTGCTTGGAATTATCTCTCTCTCTCCCTCTCAAAATAAATAAATAAACATTAAAAATAAAACAGAATAATAACAGATCCACCAAAATATGCAAATATTATCACGGCCATCCATTTACCTGTGACCGACAGGATGCTTCCGCATGTGGCTACGTCATGATGAATCAGTCTTCACCTTCATGGAGCTCACTGACTAGTAAAGGGTATTTATAGAGCTTACCAAAGACAAACAAAAATCTAGGTACATAAATTATAAATTGTGTTATGAAAGAAAATACTAAAATAGAGACTGCATGTGGCAGACTCATGATGGCTTTTAAGCTGAGACCTGAATCATAATGGACCAGTCCTGCAGGGAGCTGGCAAAGAGCTGCCCAGGGAGAGGGGACAGTGTGTGCAAATGCCCTGAAGGGGAAAAACTTGTGCTTCCAGGAACTGAAAGTAGACAGGCTGTTTGGAGAAGGGAGGGGAGAGAGGTCTGAGTGCCTTTGAAAAGATTAGTTCGAACTGGGTCACGTGGCCTCAGAGCTATGATAAGGAAGCAATATTCACTGTAAATGCAATACAAACCAATTTTTTAAAGTTTATTTATTTTTGAGAGAGAGAGAGAGAGGGAGAAAGAGAATCCTATGCAGCCTGACATGGGTCTCCATCCCACAAACTGTGAGGTCATAACCTGAGTTGAAATCAAGAGTTCGAGATTCAACTGACTGAGCCACCCATGTGCCTCTCCCTTTGGGGGTTTTAATTGAAAAGATGGACCCAGCTTTGGTTTGAAGTTAAGGCAGAGGTTATATTTTTAAGGGCCAAGACTAAGCAGAACTACTCACTTTACAAATTTGAAATCCTATTTATCTTTCATGGGTCAGGGCTTTGATTTTAAATGCTTCTATGTAAAAAAGCATTAACATTCATCTATTTCATCCTTGCCATTTATTTTCCTAGTATGTGAAATTTTAAAATAGTGCCTTTTATAATGTCTATCACTATTTCAAAGGAGAAAATGCTATAAATTTTTTCTAAGCATTTTTTAACATTTAAAAAATTCAATAATGTTCATTTTTTGTACCAGTGTACAAAAAAGCAAAAAGTTATTAGATTCAGTTCACTGTTCTGACCCTTATACAGTGCTCTTTTCCTGAAAAAATAACTTATAGTGGTCATTTGTAGCTTTTATAAATTTGGCAAGTGAACTTTTAAAATTAAATAGCGATCCTCGTCCCAGTAACCGATTTTTACTAAATAACTTTTAAAGATGAATTCAGATTAGCATGTAACTTAGCTATATGGATGAAACTGCAAACATGACCTGTAACCATGATCAAATCCCTACTCATACTTTACTCCAAGCACATCCAAGTCTGTGCACTGCACTGACACACTGTTATAAATAATCAGTAGTAACACATATCCCTTTATCTCTTACATGACTTAAAATGAAAAGATACCCCTTTATATTTTAATACTCCCTTATAACTATTAATAAAGCTTTAAATGTCTTGACTGATACTGGAAATATATTTAAATTTTATTTTAGACAATCATGTCACAGTACAGAAATGCTCACTGGGATAAATTATTTACTATTTAATTCTGTTTTACAGACAGCATCAAAATATAGAAGATGCTGGTATAGCGTATGTAACTGAAAGAAAAGAAGAAATCAAACATGACAAAAAACCTGGGAAAAGTGTACAGCGTTCAAAACCATGTGTCGGGAGAGGACGTGTATATTATGCAAAATTCATTCATACAAATGCAAGAACACTCAATGAACCAGTTCCTTACATAGATCCCCAAAAAGGGCCAGAAAAACAGGTTGGATGGATGTTCCTTATATACAAATACAGATTTAGATTCAGAAGCTGTTTTGCAGGATAATTTGGTCAGAGACTACATAAAGATGTGACATATTTCAGACCAATACTTCTTATAATACAGTAGTTAAAAGAAAAGCAGTAACCTGGAACTTTTCTTACAGATAGCTGTCACATACAAATAATATATAAATAAGGAAGGAATCCAAATAATCGTTTTTCTAGATTGGGTCAGATTATAGACACTTAGTAGAGCTTGGCAGATACTGAAGAAATCTATAATATTGTATTTGTGTCACATTCTAATACAAAAATTTCCCATGATACTCTCTATAAAGTAATAGCTACCAGTTATTTAAAGTGTATGAAGTGCTAGGGATGAGCTAAGTGTTTTATATTAGGTATATAGAAGGTACTATTAGAAATATTTTACGGGTGATAACATAACACAAAAAAGTAAGTTAACATATCTGAGATATGTTATAATGTTACAGTTGTGTTTCTGACCCAGGACTATTGGTTTAGTCAAACCACCTTTTATTCACTGTCATACTAAATATATTCCATTATCTTATTTCTTTAAAGTTAGTCTTGTTGAGGTTTAATTTATTGTATTAATTTCCTGTTACTGATGTTATAGATTACCACAAATTTAAACACTAGCTTAAAGAAACACAGATTTGGGGCGCCTGGGTGGCTTAGTCGGTTAAGCGTCCGACTTTCGCTTGGGTCATGATCTCGCCGTTCTTGGGTTCGAGCCCCGCGTCGGGCTCTGTGCTGACTGCCAGCTCAGAGCCTGGAGCCTGTTTCAGCCTGTGACTCCCTCTCTCTCTGACCCTCCCCTGCTCACGCTGTCTCTCTCTCTCTCCTAGAAATAAATAAAACATTAAAAAAAAAAATTAAAAAAAAAAAAAAAAAGAAACACAGATTTATTCTCAACATTGCTTGAGCTTAGAAGTCCAAATTTAGTCTCAGTGGCAGGGCTGGTTCCTTGTGGAAGACCTAAGGGAAAATCCAGTTCCTTGCCTTTTCCAGCTTCTAGAAGCTGCCTGCATTCCTTGGCTGGTTGGCCCCTTCCTCTTCAGAGCCAATAGCATAGCATCTTCAAATCTCTCTGATTCTCCTGCCTCCTTTTCCCAAAGACCTTTGTGATTTCATTGGGCCCACCCAGATAATCCTGGTAATGTCCCAAAATGTTTAACTTGGGAAAGCTAAACATCGTAGTTGCAAAGTTCCTTTTGTCATTTCAGTTTATATGTAGCTGTGATTTAACTTTACATTTAAATGGAGATTGCTTTTAGTGACCTGACTTCACATCTGTAACATCGAATATTCTTGTCATAAAATAGATGGCATGTTAGAGCACTGTCTGTGAGTGGGAGATCTTCTTGGGGTAGGAATTCCTGTAGTCAAATATGCTTTAATGTCATGTAGTAAACTTTACATGGTCAGCTTTAAGGCCATTTTATTTTATAAACAAGCAATTTGGGATTTAAAGAAATTGATAGTCCAGGCCTACACTGGGGAAATAAGTCTAGTACAGAAATCCAGGTTAGTGAATTCCCATGTTTCCTACAAAGTTAATGAAAAACTCTCTTGAGCTTTTTTATTCAGGGCTGAATTAAAACCCAGCTGTTAACTGAACCTATCCTTACCCTGGAGATACTAAGAAAACAAGTGGGTTTGAGAATAGAGATATAAAATGTAAAAATCTCAAAAATTAATCCAACAACTTTTCTCTTACTCCTAGTTTGTAGGTGTCTTGGGGAAAAAAATAGATGTTAGGAGGTGCTGTCAAGATTGGGCAACAGATGGGGTGCCTGGGTGGCTTAGTCGGTTAAGCGGCCGACTTTCACTTAGGTCGTGATCTCACGGTTCGTGGGTTCGAGCCCCGCGTCGGGCTCTGTGCTGACTGCCAGTTCAGAGCCTGGAGCCTGTTTCAGAGTCTGTGACTCCCTCTCTCTCTGACCCTCCCCTGCTCACGCTGTCTCTCTCTCTCTCTCTCCTAGAAATAAAAAAAAAAAAAAAAAAAAAAGATTGGGCAACAGAGTATCATGGTAGTAGGATCCTTGTTAATTGGTGCTAAAGGCGAAATGAGCCGGACACCTGTACAAGAGGGTGAGACGTCATGTGAAAGGAAGGAAGAGGATGGGTAGGAAAGGCTGCTTGTGGGTATGAGTGAGGAGGTAGAGAGAATGAATGAAGGTGTGTCCCAGGGTTAAGAGAGTATATGATCTGGGTGTGGAGTAAAGGCAATGGTCATATTTAAAAAAACAAAACAACAACCTTAACCTCAATTCCACATACTTGAGGAGGAAGTAATGTTCATGTTAAGGTCTGTACACTTTGTTCCTTTATTTAAGATGACAACTTTCTTTTTAAAGGTTAGGGGTTTTTTGTTTTATGTTTTTAATTAACTGGTTTGTAGTAGTGCTGGCTTTAAAACAAGTAAAGAAAATAAAGTTGTCTCATGTTTAAATGGATTTATCTGCCATCTTATGTATTTTGCTAAGATAATATCTTAAGAACCTAACACCAGGTTGGTTGATTTTACTTATTTACAACATATTTAAATGAAACAATCACACAGTTCTACCTAGGGACATAAAGTTGGGGGTGCTAAAAAAAAGGAAAAAGGGGCTGTAGTTCAGTCACTTCCAAAGAAAACAGCTTGGTGTTCTTGTGTTTTTAAATATTGGTATTTTAGGGGCGCCTGGGTGGCTCAATCGGCTAAGTGTCTGACTTCAGCTCAGGGCATGATCTCGTGGCTCACGAGTCCAATCCCCACATCAGGCTCTGTGCTAACAGCTCAGAGCCTGGAGCCTGCTTCAGATTCTGTGTCTCCCTCTCTCAGTCCCTCCCCCATTCATGCTCTCTCTCAAATAATAAATTAAAAAATTTTTTTTTAATTTTTTTAATGTTTTATTTATTTCTAGGAGAGAGAGAGAGACAGCGTGAGCAGGGGAGGGTCAGAGAGAGAGGGCGTCACAGGCTCTGAAACAGGCTCCAGGCTCTGAGCTGGCAGTCAGCACAGAGCCGGACGCGGGGCTCGAACCCATGAACCGCGAGATCATGACCTAAGCGAAAGTCGGACGCTTAACTGACTAAGCCACACAGGGGCCCCATAAATAAAAAAATTTTTTAAATGTATTGGTATTTTAAGAGATTATACTAGTCATTATTTTCAAAGTGTATGTTTCAAAGGATTAGCCCTGCCTACATGGTCAACAAAATAAAATTCCCAAGTCAAATACATTTTGGAAAAGCTGAATTTTTAGATCTTAAAATTTCACAAATCACATTTGTACATAAAGGCTCTAAGAAATCCTGTGATAAACTTATTTAACTTTATTTCTCCTAATATTTCCCAAATTTATCTAACTTGGGAATCTTGTATATATTACCTATTAATATGCTACAGAACTAGTATCCCACAGAACACAATTTAGGAATAACTTATCAGTGACATTATGAATTGCTTAAAAGTGTTGTCAGCACTGGTCTCCACAGCAAAACAGAGAGGAACATAGCTACAGCGAGCCTCCACTGTTTCTGGTAGCACTTCAATTTGTTCAAGCCATTGAGCTCTACTAAGAAAACATAATTCTCTATAAGATGTTGTCAGAAGTCCGCATTTCCCCGGGAACCCCTGAAGCATGATTCTGTGTTCCACAGATGGCCACCCCACCGGCAGCCATCTTTGCCAGGCTGCTGCTGTGAAGGTCTGGTCCCTAGCTCTTGCATTCTCTTAACCAGCTTGTCCAGGGCACCCTGACTGCTTTTACTACTTCTCCCCCAAAGAATCTCCCTTAATTTCCCAAGGAATGGAAAGTAATTAATGCCTCCTAATGCATTTCTGAACCCTTAGAGATAGCAGAAGTATAAGAAAGATGGTCTCATATTGGTTTCCACTGTGGCTAAGGAGCTCACAGGGTAACGGCCAACAGGCCTTCAGGGACAGGAATTAGTGGGAGCCTCCTCCTCAGGATCTCTTCATACATGGAGCTCCAATGATTGTGATCCTTGGGCAGGAAAGGAGGCAGGCCTTGGGCTAGAAGGGAAGACAGCCTCCTTTCTCTGGATACAAAGTTTTGAACTTACAGCAACTATCATTTTAGGCAAAACCCTTTCCATCTGTAATCCACAAAATATGGGCTGACCCCGGAAGTTCAGACAAAGCAGTCACAGTAGAGGACTTTTCCCAGTTTGGCTTATTGCATCATAAATAACTCATGTCAACCCTTCACCACCTATTTCAAGTAAGTGATGGTCCACAGAGTAGTAAATTTTTATTAAGTCTTTCGCTTCGCATGAAGCGAAGGGAAAAAAACAAGCTTCCACCTATCTCCTTAATCTTATAATCTCTTATGAGCAAATGTTTGGACCAAAATGGCATGCACATGTGCATGGGCCCATACACATTCTCCCTCTTCCAGGAACAAACCAGACTTTTCAGGCAAAGGGCAGGCTCTCCAGAAATAGAAAAGAGAAAAACAGGGTTTTTTGAACTGTAGGATCTCCTTCTGCTGAAGTGAAGATTCATCCAATTTATGACACTAATCAGAATACCTCCACCAATTCTGAGGTCTTCAAGTCATCAGTCACACTTTAGGAAACATTATTCATTCTTCCCATTATATTTTGTGAAACTAAAGAGGCCATTTTGGTAAAATTCTGAAGTTCGTGCTTTAAGGAGAACTTTCATATTATACTCTTGTTCAAGAAATGACTTGAACACTTGACTTGACTTGACATGCTTCCAGGCGTATCCTAGTGGTTTACTTCTCCCAGAGTCATTTGTCCAGGAACCTGGGTGTTAGCAAAATAAGTTTCTGATCAACAAAAGAAGATAATACACAGTGAGCTCCTTTAAACCTTTTCCCAGAAGATCTTTCTCAAGGTACTTACTTAAAATCTCTTTATTGTTACATTGTTACTTCTGAAATAGGTAGGTTTGTGCTTATCTGGCTTTGCATTCTACAGCTTTTTGGGTTTTTTTGTTTTGTTAGAGAGAGAGAGAGAGAGAGAGGGAGTGCATGAGTGTGCACACGCAAGAGAGGGGCAGTGGGAGAATCATAAGCAGGCTCCATGCTTAGGGCAGAGCCCTATACAGGGCTCGATCCCACAACTCTGGGATCGTGACCTGAGCCAAAATCAAGAGTTGCATGCTCTACTGACTGAGCCACCCAGGCACCCCTCTACAGATTTGTTAAGCAATGTAGCACAGATGTGAGAGGCATGTACACATGGGGGCAGGGGCCTGACTTGGACAGCTCTGCTGCCTGCTACAGATACCCTTTGGGGAAGTTAATCTCTCAGCAGTTTTCTCATCTGTGAAGTGGGTATATCTACTTGCAGAATCGTGACAAGGATAAGTGAGAGAAGGCCTATAAATCTTAGACTTCGGGGCATAATAAGCACTATGATAATCATGCAGTGGAGGAGGGCTGCAAGAAGCCCGCATTCTGACAACAGTTAGATGTGACTATTTTCAGCCAGATAGTGAGAAGACACCATCTGTTTAGTAATCTGTTCTAGAATTCCCAGGATCGACATCAAGTGGTCTTAATTTTGGTAATTCACCTTTCAGCTCTTTCTGAAAAATGAGGTGTTAGCCTATCTCTTCTATTCTCCAAAATTCCCTACTTCCTAAATTTCTTTGATCTCTGCAATCTTATTCATTACCCATGGTAACAATTTGTTATTGGCCTGAAAACTGGCACTCATTTAAGGTTGCCAAGGGAGGTCTAGCTCTCTCTTTAATTAGTCAGGGCTCAGTTCCCTCTTAGGTCCATGTTCATCCTGTCTTTTTCAGTTTGAAGATAATTCACTTAACGAAGAACCGAAAGTTGAGTAGCTCTGACTTTCAGCTCTGAACTCTGTACTCTTCTCCAAATTCTTAGCCCTTCTGTGATTCTTTTTTTGATGTAACAGATTTTTTTCCTGCAGAAAACCCTATTTTTTTGCTGCCTTTGGCATATTTCATGAATTTCTTCTATCTAAGCTTCCTGACAATCTCCTGACAAGTTGACTCGATGAAATTATTATTTTTTAAAATTTGATCCTGTGCACCTCTTTTACACATGCCTGTCTTTTTAGAAACTAAGCTGGGAGCTGACTGCCTATGGAGCCAGATAGATGTCTTCAAATGCCTCTTACTTTTTATATCAGTGTAGCTTCAATTGCACTGTCAGAATTTTACTTATTTGAGTCTCATATTCATCCTCCTTGAATCATATTTTTAAAGTCTCTGACTATAACATCATGGTTGATTTTTTAAAAGCCTGATCTCTTCCCTCAAAGCCCAAGGTAGATGTCTGATTATACCCAAAGTTACTTTCATTGTCTAATAATATCTAAGAACTCCTAGTTGTCACAGTTGTTTTCTCTCCAGGTTGTCTCTGGTCTAACTGATCAACCAGATCTAAAAAAATGTTTAGTTAAGATTAACTTGAGTAACAGTTCCCCTCACTGTTTTCACAACTTCTAAGAGATCAGATTGTGTATGTACTAATGGACAATCAATCAATTCTCCCTTTCCTGGGTACCTAAGTCAGGTTTTACCATCAAAAATTCAGTAACATTGGAGGCATTTTTCCTTAGAACAAAGTTTTTTCAAACTGAGGCATCAGTGAATTCCAAATAAATGTGGGTTGTAACTAGCACTGTGAAATGCAATAGAAGAGATAAATGATAAAATAGAAAAACAGTTAAGTACACTGCATATAGTAAGAATAAATATTGTCTTGCGAAACTTAGTTTATGCATATGTATATGCACTGTGTGCCCTTTCATGACATAAGATGTATTTCATGATGTTGATCATGGACTAAAATCTGAAAACCACCATCTTAGATGATAATACATTATTTGTATTTTCATAATGAAAAGTATAGAACATAATTTTTAGATTAAATCATTATATATACACTCATGTGTATACATATATATAATAAAATGGTGGTATAAAATAGAAAAATATAACTACTTCGTTGATTTTTACCACTCCATCTGTTGATAGAAAGTAGCTTAAGAATTTAGCAGCAATATTTTAGCTAAAAATATGTTGTAATTTGCTTTTAAGTATCATTTTAAAAATTAAGTCCTTGAAAAAATATACTTATTCCTAGATTTCAGAATTCCATTTAGTACTAGACTATCCAAGAACTTATTGGATCAAACTACTAAACATTCACAGCCATCAGGCAGCACATGAAAACGTTCTACAGTATCCAATTTTATGTTTCCATTTTTTTTCCTTAAAGGGTGACTGGTGGTCACATGGTAAAGGACTGGAACATCCCTTCCAACCACCTTATGACACTAAGAGCACCCAGAGGAGTGACTTTCAAAAACCAACATGTCCATTGGTTTTGCCAGTCAAACACAGCAAGTTGCAAAAGCCTTCTTGTGGAATAGGTAAGGTTAGCTATGATAAAATCTCTTTCCCATTCTCCTAGGTTACTCTCAAATTAAAATAGTTTAGATATACTGGTACCTCTTGAACAAAACTACTGTCAGAATAGTAGAAAATGGTCATATTCAGCATGATTTCAACCTTAAGGGTAGTAGTTAACGGAGAGAACTGTTAGAAAAACCCAACACGTGTGGAGAGATGACTGCTATAAAGGCAAAAACTGAATCTATAAAGTTGAACAGATATTTTAAAACCACAGAACTTGGGGTGCTGGGTGGCTCAGTCAGTTAAGCATCCAACTTCAGCTCAGATCATGATCTCATGGTTTGTGGGTGCAAGCCCCATATTGGGCTCTGTGCTGAAAGCTCAGAGCCTGGAGCCTTCTTCAGATTCTGTGCCTCCCTCTCTCCCTGCCCCTCCCCTATTCATGCTCTGTTTCTCTCTGTCTCAATAATAAATAAACATCAAAAAAAAAATTTTAAACCACAGAACTTTTAAAACCTTTATTGTGAGCACAAGCATAATCCATCCATTCCAAGAAAAGGGATAAAGAATGCTATGTTTTCCCCACTTATTGACCACCTCACTCTTTTTCCAGAAGATTATTTTACAGGACTGGAATCCCACCAAACAATGTAGGACATACTATTAACATGGACCACTAAAACATTGTTCAGGTCTAAAAATTATTTACCTGACAATGTCATAATAATAACCTGTCTTTCGTGTTTAGTCAAGTGGTATCTGTTTCCTACCATATGTATTAGTCATCTCTACTGCTGGAGTAGGATTTAGCAAGTCTGAAAGAAGTGCATGGTCAAGTCAAATCCATACAAAAGTTCATAAACTTCAAATAACTTTCTGAACATGACAGTGGACAACGAAGGGTTACTTTTAGTAGTTAACAGGCCCTTACTTAATTTTAGCCTTCAGGCCTCTGTAATTTGGCCAGTCTAGTGAAGGATACAAAGGGCAGGTAGATTCAAGGTCAAAACAATAGAAAATGGTCATATTCAGCATGATTTCAACCTCAAGGGTAGTAGTTAATGGAGAGAACTGTTAGATCATCTGTAACATGGTCTCTCCTTTAGAAAGGTAATGAAGTTTTCACTTGTGATTCAAGTGGTAGACTGAACACAGACATCTAAATCTCCCACCTCCCAAGACTCTCTTCAATGAGAGCAAAGCAATCAACCCATAAAGAAGAGAATGGAAAGAAGAACTTTCTGTGGTGTGGGAAGGATTGAAAGCTTGCTGATAGAATAAAGAGAGCAAAGAAGCAATAGCCTAGAAAATATAGAGGGTAATGCAACAAAGAGCCAATCTGCCTGACAAAACCCCAAAGTAGGCTGTAGGCTCAGTCAACAGGCATAGCAGCAGGCAAGAATGAAGGGGGGAGGGGGCAGTCCAAGGGTTACATAAAAATCTTTTATTTCTTTTTTAATTTTTAAAAAATGTTTTTTATTTATTTTTGAGAGAGGGACAGAGCATGAGCAGGAGAGGGGCAGAGAGAGAGGGAGATATAGAATCTGAAGTAGGCTCCGGGCTACGAGCTGTCTACACAGAGCCCAAAGTGGGGTTCAAATCCATGAGCTGTGAGATCATGACCTGAGCTGAAGTTGGATACTTAACCAACTGAGCCACCCAGGTGCCCTGAAAGTCTGTCTTTTAAATAACCACTCTAGTCATGAACACTCTACTCTATGCCAACATTAAGACTAGCTGAGCCCAGTGTCAAGGCCAGATGTCAATTACCACACCAGTTATTATTATTATTTTTTTTTTTTGTAATTCAAGCTGGTCTCTTATCCCATTCTTAGTTTACAAATGGACAGCCAAAGTACAATTATACCAAATTATTTTTTTAATGTTTGGAGGGTAAAGTCAAAGAAATAACACACAGCATAAAACAACAACAGCAACAACAACAAAATTAGAAAATATGAGAGAATAAAACCAAAATGGAGAATCAGTCCATGAGGTCCAACTTTTCTGGAGCTTCAGAAAAGCAAAGAATAAAAAATGAAAGTGGAGATAATTATCAACATGTAACATTTATTGAGCACATCCTATTTGCCAGGCACTTTATGGAACTTTCTAAATACTCATTCGATTCTCATACCAACCCTCTGAAATGTATTAATATGGTAATATTTTATTAATACTCTCATTTTTCAGGTAAGAAAGCAAGCACAGAGTTTAAATAACTTGTCTAAGGCTACACAGCAAACAACTGCTATTTGAACTCAATCTACCTATAATTATACCAGTATTCTACACAGCTCCTGGACTAGGAAAGTTTCCCAATATGTAAAGGAGGCATTAGAAGAGTCTAGTGAGTACTTCCAAGTGGGAAGGGGGGAAAAAGATATAAACTATACACCATTACAGAACTGAAAAGCAACAACTATAAAAAGAAGATTCTATCAGTTCCCATAAAGAGAAAGAAAAATAAGTCACCATCTAAGAAATAAGTATGGAATTAAGCAGCACTGACGCAAAAGCAGAATTTACGTCTTCAAAGTTTCCAGGGGAAAAGATTCTTTCCTTAGGAAAGAGGATTTATTTCACACAAATACTAGAACCATTCTTTTTCAAGTGGCACCAGGCATTGAACCCACCAAGAAAGAAATGTAGTCCTAGCTCAATATTTCACCCTTAAGTGAACAAAATTCATATAATTACATCATAACTGCTATTTCATAGTTTTCAGCTTTTAGCATTATATAGACAGAATATGGAAATATTAAATGTGATTACAGAACAGAATTATGTTATTAGCCTTACCAAGAAAAGCACATGTCCAGTTGATAGAGGATGGGGAGTATCAGAGAAAGGTGCTAATATCTTTATTTAACATGAGTACTCAAGATACTACCCTAAATAGATGAAGCAAGCAACAGAAGTTCAAGATTGAAATCAAAGGAGCTAGTATAAGGACAGATTTATCTCTCTAGCTCTGGCCTCTCTGCTGAACTTTGAACTCCTATCCAGTCACCACCTAACATCTTTTCTTGGACAGCTAATCTCCTTTCAAAGTGAACATGGCTAGAATAGAATGGTTCATTTCCCCCTTCAAACCCATCTTTTCAATAAGTGCCACTTGTATTCCTCCTCAAGTTTTGGTAACCTAGAGGTCATTCCAAAACTCTCTACCCTCTTTATCCAATCTATCAGCAAATCTTGACCCTCTATCTCCAAAATATACCCCAAATCTTCTTACCAATGTTGTTGGTAAGCTTCTCTTACCCCACTTCCTCTCTTTCTCCTCCAAAATATGTCTTCCACACCATTGTTAGAAGGATCTTTTAAAAACACAAATGATACAACTTTCCTCCCTTAGATCCTCTAGTTACTTCTCATGGTTTGTAGTGGCTTAGATGGTGGTCTAATCTATGACATCAATCTATCTCCTATTGCTCATGACATCATGATAGGGGGATTTTGAAAAGGGGCATGTAACTCAGGCCAAGGAAGTAGAGAATTTCTGTGAAAGTCATGGTTGTTTCTAAACCGATGTGTACCTGTGTACTTGTTATTGTATTTGCCGCCTAACCATTTGCTTTCCAGTTTCCAAATTTGTTAAGATCTTTGCTCTCCTTTGGTTCTCTTTTTTTCTAAGGACTGAAGCTCTTTAATGTCTCTACTATCATTACTGGTGTTTGGGCAGGGAATAGGGGAAAAATGCACATTTTGAATTTGCCACGTTTAACTGGGAATCACGGTCACCTTATCACCATCAGCACTCACTCCCCTGAGACTTTACTATTGATTTAGCACTTACAGTGGTTTGATTGTAGACTTATTACTTAAATTTCATCATTTGATTTACTCAGTTCATGAAGTGGGAATAATAATCCCCACTCTGCAGGATTGTTATGAGAAATAAAAATATGTACAGCACCTACCACAGAGCATTATGTACTATGTTAGTACATAGTAGACAACAAAGGAAGTTATTTCTATTATTAATTTTGCATTGTACTAAGTTAGGTGTTTAGTTGGAAGTTAGCTTTGAAAACCAGGTGTGGAAGTCTCTTTTTTCCCTTTCCCCGCCCTCCATCTGCCTTCACCACCCACCTCCTGCTCCTTTGTTTCTCAATTCTCTTATTGGTATTTCTCGCTGCCAAATTCATTACTGTGTCCCAGATCATAGTATGATACCTAGATTTCACAAAGGCTTATCGAAGAATGGTAACTTTACATACTATTCAACAGATTAAAGACATCATGTAATTTAAACTAACACACACTACAATGTAGGCCTGTAATTTATTCATATTTTAGATGGTGTTTGAGAACTATGAAAAGGGTTTTTAAAAGAAAATATTTTAGTGTAGCATTTTAAAATGTGTATATATACTAGTTTGTATAATTCAGATTTGCATATATATATATGTATATGCATGCATACAGACATAAAAAATGTGTATGTAAACATGCATAATACCAATTAAAAGTCATCTCCTGGTAATTCTGTTCCATCAGCCCACTTAATTACGCTTGGTCTTTGGCATTTCAGCAATGTCATCTTGTGCTGATAATGAAAGTGCCCTTTATTCTTGTACTACCACACAATTTCCTGGCTGCCATCCATGGTCACTTCAACAAATGGCTATGCTCCATCATATCTGAGTCCCTGTAAGAATAAGTGTTCATCTTGGGTTTTATATAATAAAACTTTATAAATTGGAAAGGCTGATCTAACTTGTGAAGGAAGTCATTCACATTTAAATGAAACTTTGGCTGTTTATCAACTGCTTGCTATTTTAATGTTTTTTTAATTGAAATTCAGATTATTATTAAAAATAATTTTCTGAAGTAAGTTTTATTTTGTGTTGCTTCTTTTGCCCCAAAGTGTAGTTTAACAATGATTTCTTGCTAAATAAATACGTTCAAGTTTCTTTCACTGTATTTTGAACATCTATGGTGTTATTTTTTACACTAATATTATTTTTATATAACATTAAAATAAATACCATTTAGAAGAATGGAGTTTCTA